TAGTGAACCTATCTTACATAAAAAAGTGAAACAAAATTTACAGCAAATGAAACACCAAGGTAGTTTTCCACAGCAAAACCACTATATGTAATTTACAAAAGTTGGACTTGCTTGTGAAAAAATATAATAATAAAAAAAACAAAAAATATAATAAAAAAAACAAAAAAACTGAGTGCATAATATTTCAAATTTGTAGTTGAAAATATAGAGGAGAAACCAGCTAATTTGCAAATATTGGTATTGAAAAACATCAAAAACATAATCCAAAGTGATACCAGGATGTTAGATATGGTTGAACATATATGTATAAAGAACATGTCATAAACCTTGAAATGGGTTCACAACATAATAAAAAGCTGTATAAACAAAGACAGTATAAGATTTAATGTAAAAACTCATTTGAGGATCTCTCACAAGTGAAAAAATAGCATCTGTGTTGTTCTTGATAAAAACAATGAAGTTGAGAATATATTAAACAACTCCTGTTATAATGATGGATAGATCATATTAGAATTTAGATGGTATTTATCAATTCAGTTCTGATTATGAACATTAAAATACTGACTCATATTAAAGTTTCATAAGACTATATACAAAATGAAAAACTGACAATATATTATATAATGGACAGTTAATTAAATAGTATACGATGCTAATCTTTCTAGCAGGGATGTTAAATTATAACATTAAATTATTTAAATAATTCTTTCAAAGAATACTAGCCTACCACTAAAAGACTTTTGACAAGTGTAATTATTACTTTGTTCTTATTTATGTACTGTTCAAAATCTAGACATGTACACTCACAAATAACTTTTACAGCTAGAACTAATATACAATTAAAAACAAAACAAAATTATCCTTCGGTAAGGATGTTTAGCATTTTTAAACAAATAGAATAGAAAAATTCTTATTTGTTAATAATAATGAACTGTCTTTGAACAAATTTATTCATTTTTTTCTAAATGAAAAAAAATATGTATATAGAGCACACATTATGCATACTGATAAACAGTCAAACAATGTAGGACAGCAGTACTGACTGGAAAGTGTCAGATTATTGGTTAAAAGTTAAGCCAATCATATTTCAGAATGGTAACGGTCAGAATAATATTATTTCATGATGGCAACATTCAGATATCATTTTACAAGTTGTGACATTATTACTCAGACTAGAAACCTTTAAAATTTGCTCTATACTTTCCACTGCTATTCTGCAGCTTGCCAACTGTCCATTTGGCTGATATGAATAATGTAGTAGATACCATGACAAGTTATGTAGCTGAAACAAAAAATCAATGGCAATTCTGGAATATTTCCCAGTATCTGTAAATCAGCAAATGCTTTATGAATGATATCTATCTAAATGCTACAAACTCATCTGCTAACATCCACATACACATGTTTACATGTCAACCCTCAGAAAGTTACAATCTTTGACTCAATACTTCAATATTTCTTAGAAATTATATTTGATTACATTAGTATGCTTTCATTCTTGGCTAAGACAACAAGAATAACATACAATGAAATAATATTGTGTGTGATGGCATTTAGAAAATTTTCAGTCTGATACTTCTGGGCTACATGGGATAGAACAGAATCCTGCTATAATGCATAGAGCAATCTCCTCTTACGCTTTGACAGCCTTGTTTAGCACCTTGATGTAGACATTAACCCTGAAGTGGAACAGCATGATATAGCCCTCATTGCTCATGCCCAGGACTCCTAAGATTATGTGACCTTGCTGTGCATCACGGTGGTTACGCCTGTGGGACCCATGCAAAGTCAACTGTCATTCCCCCTGTTCATATAGTCACTTTCAAGAAGTTGGCTATGCCTGAGTCACTGTGGTTGGCAGCTAATATCACAAGCATGGTGTGCGTTTTCATTTCATGTGTTAGATTGGAAGTTGTCATATTAATACTTTTGAGAGAAATGACAATGTTAAAATATGACACATTACATTAGATCATTTGGGGCTGCTAAAGCTGTGTTCCCAAATACTTAGTGCATACAGACATAATTCCTTATGCAAATGCAGTAATATTTGCAGACAATCTTTTTAGGCAACAACTAGGCAAGACACTAGAAACTTTTTTATAGTTGACAAAATAATAAATAGATGGCATTATTTTATGTTAGAAATCTCTATGAATGGTATATTTTATGAATTCACAATAAAAAATTTTTATTTGAAATAAACTGGAAATAAAAGTGGAAATAAACTTAAGTGGAAAAAAATGAAGTGAATATTTAATTTGTAAAAAAGAAATGAAAGAGTATTTAAATGAATGCCAAATTTATAAAAAAATAAACACCATTATATTTAAATTAAAAACATACATCTCTCATATTAAAATATTTAAATCAAAATATATATTATTTAAGAGACATAAAATGTGCTTTAACTTTACAAATATGATGGTAAAAATTTACATAAAGGAAAATAATAATTATAAAGTGTATTGCTAATTTTCTAATAAAAATTTCTCTATAATTGAAAAGTATGTAAGAACTATTTAGAGTTAAGAATCAGGCTTTTAGCAGTATGCTTATATTTGAAAATGTTGCTACAGGCTACTTTAATGAACCTTTCATAAAACTCATTACTTCAGTGAATAATTGCAATGAAAAAGAAAAGAGAGGAATAAAAATGAGCGAAATAAAAACCATCTGAGTTAATTTTACAGAAGGAATTAGAACTGATAAATGAAATTCCTTGTGGAAACTTAATGGCTTAATCATAATAATGAACATATAATTAGTAATTAACTTTCAGTAAAGACTCACAAAGAAAAGTCATGCAATATAAATTTCTTGATTTTCATTTCTTTCTTGGCTTCCTTTTTGCTGGTATATTTGATTATACTGCCACTAAATAGAGCCCACTTTGTATGGAATACTCATCTTTATACTATTCAGGGGATAATGTTTTTACTAAATTTTCATTGAAATATTGTCATATATACAAAACAATTGCATATATTTGTTGTTAGATATGCATGGTCTTGTTAATAGCTGGAAAAATGGAAGGATAATAAGCTTCAAAGCTACAAAAATAAATAACCAGCTGTGTTCACTGTAGTCTATTATTTAAAAAAACACCAAAAAAACCCCCAAAAACATATATATAATATATATATATATATATATATATATATATATAGAGAGAGAGAGAGAGAGAGAGAACATATTTATTTACTCCCCTTTATTTATTTTGATGACACATTTATTTACTCCCCCCCCCCACCTTCCCTACCAAAAAATGATGGCCATTTTTATTTTAGGTATTTGTTTGTACAGATTGTGCATAGATTCATTTATCAAACTATAGAGATTTACAACAGTTCACAGAAATTATTTTTATACTTATCATTTTCTGGAAAAACTTTTGCTATATTTTATCATTTGTTCATAATTATAATTTTACTCAGACTGATCAAATGATGTATTTAAAACTAGTGTCAGTGTAACATCTGGGCACATAATCAATATTGTATCTGGTCATAAAAACAAAGTATTGGAGATAATGAATTAAAAAGTGGTTATCACTTAGTATATGAGATTCTATGGATCAGTTATTCATTACAAAGTATTCACATTAAAAACAAATTTCAGAATCTCAGACTCTTGGATTAGGCAGTTTGTGATAGATGAAATGAAAAACTCCAGTCTATTTAATCTTTTACTAGAATAAGCTTTGCTCATTTACAAGCATAGATGTGATGAGAGGGGCACTGCTCATTTAAGCATTTCATATCTACTAACAGAAGATAGCAATCTTGCTTTCCTCCTCAAAATCAATGTACTGATGGAGCTGATGACATAGGTGTTCATAGTTGGATTAAGAATGATCTTGAACAGAAAATCAACATCCTCTACCAAGTGTTCCAGGAAATAGGACTAAAGATAAACCTTTCTGAAAAGGAAAAAAATGTGTAATTGGAATGAAAATACCCTGAATCCATCATAAAAATTCAGAATGTGAACTTAGTAAATACCCAACACTTCAAATATCTTGGGGTATGGATCAATTATAACAAATCTAGTATAGGAGGTAAAGAAATTGAACATAGAATGGGCTGCATGAGAGGTAGTTTCATCCAACACTGCATATTGCTACAAAACCAAAACATTAACCTGAAAACTTGAGTCATATTTTTAAATATCCTTGTCTGAGATTTTCATATGGATATGATGCATGGCACTGAACTCATTCAGAAATATCTAAATTGTACACAAAATTGTATTGCTTTCTAAGATCAATGGTGAAAAATGGCTTTAAGCGAATGAAGCCTGTGGGTTTTGGTGAACCTTGTGGACTGGCATTACACAATCACAAACAAAGAACTGTACCTGATAACAGAAGCCACATTATTTGAGGACATTCAAAAGTAGAAACAGCTAAAATGGATATCACATGTAACTCGAAGAGAAAATAATGATATAATCAAAATGTTGATGTGCCACACTACTACAAATAAAAGATTAGGAAGGAAGCCCCCTCCCCATCAATACTGCAAAGTGTGATAACAGCTATTGGACTTGAGAAACTGATTTCCTGAAAAATTTTAAGAGAAACATTTTATAAATTTCAACTAACAATGGTACTGGATGCTTGGTCAATGAATGCCAAATGTTTCTTTGTAAGGAAACGGCTAATATTACAATTACCATGTATGTATTTGTTTGTATTACAGAGAGAGGGTGAAAGTGTTGGAGAATAGGGGAAAAATTAGAAAATAAAGATATGAATGCTTACAGGGAAAACTAGTAATTGTATAAAGAAAAAAGGAAAAAATCAGCTGTGAGAAAGTCTAGTTGGGAGATGTAAAGAGCAGAATTATAAAAAAAAAATAGAAAGGGAGCAAATATTTGTTTGATGAGATTGGAAAAGCCTAATTAAAAAGTGAGTGATGGAGAAAAAGTAAAAGATTTAATTAAAAATTTTAAAAGAGTATACAAAAGAAAACTGAATCTATTTTTTGTTCACTTACTCCTTCACCATACTGCAGAAATCTTTTATCTGATTCCTGCTTGTCAAATTTTTGGAGGTATTTCTGCCGATAGACAAGAACTGTATCGATGTGTGTCTTATGCTTCAAAGCCAGTTCAAGAGCACTAAAAGAAAAAATATACATTTAATAAGTAAAAGCAATTACACCATTTGTCAGATTGAGGAATGAAATAAATAATTAAATGTAGCCAAGTATGTTTTATTCAGAATTTGAAAACAATTGTATAAATATAGGTACCTCCACAAAATCGCTAAAAAAAGAGCATAGCTTGATGAAAAAGACGCCAACCTTGCCGAAAACTAAATTTTATTGTCTAAATGCTTATGTTATTATTAAGAGGAAAGACCAAAGATTTTTTTAAATTATTTTAAAAAATTTTCCTTCTTTTAGAACATTCTAAATTTTGATTAAAAAACTTTTTTCTATTTGTTTCAGCAGAACTAGTAAATAACATAGACAATTTTTAGCACGTTTTTTTGGTATGACACACATTAATTTGAAAAATTGTGCAAAAATAGAAATAATTATCGGATGTTAATGAAACTTTCAGGAACTATTTACAGATGATCGAAATTATTATAAATATGTTTTTTTTTATGAAAGTCATGGTAGAAATATTTTTAAAAAATATTTATTACCCCCATAACTAATTTTATGAAAACGCTAGAAATTGATCGCATCGGTTTTAGTGATTACAATAATTAAAAGCACAGGGCTTTGAGGAATGCAAATCATGTTTTTTTTTGTTTTAATTGGATATGCAGTACCTGAAAATCAGCTCTGAATTGTAACATACAAAACTCAATAAAACAAATATATTATTTAATTTCAAATGCTTTTATTTGCTTTTTAGTTGTTTTTATGAATATGGACAATATTTTCTGAAAGCAAAAAAAATTTTTTTCGATGAAAAATGAATTTTAATACAATTATTTGTTATTTCATTAATTATAATAGATTTTACATTTAAGTTGTTAAAATATTATAAAATTAGTTAAAAGCTGCATCGGCTTTCATAAGTGTCCTTATGAGATAGATCTTTTTAGCTAGCGTTGTAAATTGTATCTTTTGACTAATCAGAAGATACCCAGTAATTAAGAAATGTAATTTTGTGCTTATAATCGAGCTGTAATTATAAAATACGGAAGACCAACCAGGATATAATTAAGTTGCGTTATTTGAGTTAAGCATTGTTCTCCGCTGTTAAGGCCTTTACTTTTCTTGAAACACGTGTGGAGAAGTTTATTTGATTTTTCAATTTCAACTGAGAAGGGTACCTACAAGTATCAGTATCATCTTATGAAATTTATATGATCTTATTTTTATATTAATCTCAGTTACGACATTTTTCCATAAATGAAATATCAAAATTAATAATAAAATGAATGCAAATACAAATGACAGTAGAATATAATAAATGTACATAAAATTATAGTATTTTATGTACAATTCTGATAAAATTTCATAAGAAAGGTACCTATAAATTAATTAGATACCTTTCTTAAGAAATATGAAATTTAATGTCACTCTTAACAGTTTTATTTTAATTTCTTTAGAATATATTTCCCATAAAGCATCATAAACGTAAAGGTGAAAGCTAAGTACAAAAAAAAAAAAAATTAGACCGCTGAAAGTTTTCGTTAAAAATAACAGGGTAAATAATTTGTTCACGTAAATGTAAATTATTTCACTTTTCTCCTTCCGTAGACAAATTAGCCTCATGGAATTCGTAAATATATCATTCATCACATGTCAAGAGACGCGAAAGTTTATGACCTGCTTTGTTTTATTTTCAAATTACATCTTTTTGGCACAAAAGCTAAGTTAAGTTTGGTTCAAAATATTTTAAATAAACATTATATTTTCTGATTTTCTTAAAATAAGTTTTGAAAAAATGATAATTGATATTTAAAAAATTTCAAAAGTCAGATTTCCAGTTTTTTTTTTTAAATGGAAAAAATGGTCAATTTTGCTGACTCAAAAAAAAAAAAAACTAAATTTCGGACGTGCTAGGAACGATTAAAAATGGAAAAAATACCCCCAAAATACTTTGACCTTTCCTCTTAATAATAACAAACATTTAGACGATAAAATTTTGTTTTCGTCAAGTTTGGCGTCTTTTTAATCATGCTATGCTCTTTTTTTAGCGATCTCGTGGAGGTACCTATATAAATATAATAATTTGGAACTAGTAATCAATTTACACATTTCTGTTTATAGCTGAATAGCATGCAGTGTTTATGAAGAATGACAAAACATAAATCTCCTTGAGAAAGATGTTTAAAAGTGGCTTATACAAACATGAGTTGTTTAAAAATCTAAAGGATTTCTAAAGGAACTGCATAATTATTGCACTGATAAGATATGTAAATAGCAATTTACAAGTGAATTTGAAAATAAAGCAACACATTTTAAGTACAAGTGTTGTATAAGAAGCACTTGAGATTGCAATTTCATCCTACATTAGATCAGATTTTATTATGCAAATGTATCTTCTTATGATAAAAATCCTATTAATCACCTGATGTTCCATTTTCAGGATATACTTATATGAATTATAGATGTTTAGAATTTTCTTTAACACACAAGAGATCTTTTTTTAAGTAAAATTATTGTAGCCTTTGACATTTTATATTGTACCTTAGAATATACGTTAAAGTCTTAAAGCAAATAGTTTAGTGGCAAATTAGAAAGACAAGTTAAAAATATAATTAAAAAAAGGAAGGTTTGTCAACTTGGTACTTATCAACTTGATAATCAAATTAGTCACTGTTGTATGAACAGGGTTTTCTTTAACAGAACATAAACAAAAGAAAGAACTTCATCATAATATGCAGAAGATTTTACAAAATTTGAATTAAAAATAAAATAGAAGAGATTTTATTCTTTGTACAAAGAAGCAAAATTGCACTGCTCTTGTTTTTTAAATTTAAAAAAAACTTTAAAGGTTAAAAATTAAAACTCAAATTTTAAATTTGCTATTTTGTTCAGCACTTCTCATTGATGCATAATTACAATCATGATTTATGTTTATATCTCCCCCAACACATAAAATTCTATCAATAAGAACAAATATCTGTTTAATATAATAACTACAGAAAGATATTGTCTATAAAAGACAACTGATATATCACATGTACAAAAATACAGATCAAATACACAGGACAATAATATTCAAGAAAAAATCTCATACAAACAGAAAGAAAAGAGTTTGCTATAATGGGCACACACAGATACACTACATATATATTGTGATGCAGATAGATACAACAGGTGTAAAAGAAGCAAAATTAGAAATAGATTGTCTGTCCTGATAATCAAGAGCTAAACTTTTTGTTCTTTAATTGAGAATGTTTAAATTTTGAAACTGGTGAAATTTAAATTTTAAATTGCTACTGATATTGGCAGTGATAATAGAGAGAAAGAGCAAGTGTAAGATTAAATGTAGACTGAAGATTGGTGACAGAGATAAAAGTGATTGAAATGGGAACAAAAACTTTTAAAAAACTAGAATGAAAGTCATGCGCCAGTTAAAGCTTGTTTAAATGCAATTTAAGGTAAATGAAAATGGAACAGAACCTAGGGAGATAAACAAGGCTGTGTTTAACTTACTGTTTGTGAATATTTAGGAAAAAATTTTGGGATTACAATGGAAATTGACTCTTTCTCTCCCTTATGCATACTTTACACACCAATGTACCCATTTCTACCTAAGTACCTACAAATTATCAAGTGCTTGAATATAAACAACTTTTTTTTCCTAGCAAATAGTCATAATTAAGTGAAGATTAAAAATTGACAAAATAAAGTTGACAAAATTAGCCATTTGTTATATGTAGATATAATTATTATATTTTTACGTTTCTGTTTTACAATTCAAATGCATTCTCTATGCTATCAGCTGGATTGAAATATATGTTGTCTGAAGGGTAATATTTCAAATGTTGTTATGAAAATAACATCAAAAAGAAATAGATAAAAGGCTTTTACATAGTAACCATTCATATACTTAAAATTCTTTATTTAATGCACAACTTAAATTCACTTTTAACAATACATTTTAATGTATTATTACTAAAGTTTCAGTTAATTCTTGATACATATTTGTGAAAAACTAATGTTCATGTTTGTTCAAATAACAAATTCTGAAATAAATGATAAAGTGGGCAATCAATATTTTTAGAAGGAATATTGACAAGGAGGTGTTCCTACTTCAATGGAATAAGTTTACCAGGCAACTGCAAAAAGACAGTACTTGTGTGCACTCTCACAAAAATGGAATATTGCAGAAGACAGTATTTAAAGTGAGAATTTTATACATACATGGGATTGGTAACAAAAATTGCTCGACTTGGCACTTAGAGAAGTGCAAAAACATGACACCTCAGGCATCAGGGGCTGACCTTATCCCCTAACCTCATAGTACAATGGAACAAGTACTGCTTGAGTTGGGAGAGATGATCCCCTGAAGTTATATATTTTTTTTATCAAACCTAACTGTAAATGGTTAGGGTATGTTGTAAAAAGATTTATCAATTTAGAAAAATCCAGCTCATTTATTTAGTCTTAGATGAAGAGTTCATTTATAGAAGCAGCCTTTTAATTACAGAGGCTCCACAATACAATTTTAACAAGTAATTTTGTGTTCAATCATTTAATTCCCAGTTGCAGTAACAAATTATTCAGTTTTTTTTATCATGCAAATATTTTCTGTTCATTATACATTTGCAGTTGAATTGAGTGTGTAAAACACTTTCAATATTTGAAAAAAAAAGATTTTGTAGCTATAAAAATATAAGGAGAAAATACTCCTACAAACATATACATATACAGGTATAAGAAAAATGTTGACATTAATATAAAAATGTCAAATAAACTCAAATAAGAATGGGTGAATGCTGATGCTTAATAATCAGCAGTTAATTACCAAAATCAATAGAATATACACATTTTCTACATAGGCATATGTGGAGAAATTCTTTTGCATCCCTCATCTCTAAATATGTATACCAGGAAAATTGGCAGAGTAATTTTATATTTTATCTGATAAAGCAATAAAAAGTTTGCACTACAGGCATTTTGTTCCCTATAGTAGCAGAAAAA